TTTTTTTTTTTTTTGATTTCTTCACTCCATTGAGGTCATTCATTAAACCAAATGAAAAGCGTGTGATGAACGAATGAAAATTCATTAAGACTTTCTAGCAAAAGTAGAAAATATTATTTCTTCATTTAAGTGATGAGCGAATGGTTTAAAATGCTTTTCACATACCATAGCCTTACAAATTGATCCTGACATTTCAAAAAAATTTTCGCTTTGATTCTAATATCCACAGTAGGAATTGGACTTTTTTTTTAAATGATAAGATTTTTCCATATATCTGAAATCTAAAAGCGATTCGGAAACGTGCCCCTATTGTTCGTTATTAGAACTATCATGTTTGAGAAGGACAACTGAAACATTGTCCACTTGTCCGTTGTCCATTGTTAGGATTGCAGATTAGAAGTCGTGACATCCGTCTTCATTAAAAAAAAAAGAGAAAAAACCACAAAGGCCACAAACTGTAAGAAATATCGATCACCACTTTGATCAAAGAATATATGCTCGACGCAAACAAATGATTGGTAAAAAATTATGATCATTCTGGACGTATGGATATCGTAAATTAAATTTAAAGCGATTATAACACATTTGTACAAAAAAAGATACCTTTGCGCTTAAAAAGGATCGCTTGAGTCCATCGCTACCAAGTCCATTTTTTTTTTTTTGAAAGGTTGCATAAATCAATCGAGCTGAATATTAAAATTTTCAGATTTTTTAATATTGCGTCCGTTTCTTTATTATGAAAGTCGCGTTAATAGCTATACAAGCCATTGATTGATATAAATCAATCTTGTAATCAAATCATAGCTGGCAGGCGATGACCATCGTTTACATCCCGAGTCTCACTTTCAAGCCAAAAAATGTCAAGCGTTGCTCAAAAGGGTCAATGTTAGTATCTTGCGACATCGTAGAGAGTTATTTGAGCGTGAACCGGCGGACATGTATCGGTCTATCGTTCAATAACGCAATCCGTTCACTGCAATGGTCGACCCAGCGGCTTAGTTCAAAGTATGGCTCGATTATATCGCCAGTTGTAAACATCATCAAGCGATCACGCCTTATGGTTGATTATTTTGCTTGGAATTCTTAAAGGCGGCATTCTTCCTCGTTTGTGCACGTACACGAATGAACGCGAGCATAAACGTTCAGTATAATTTTATTTAAAAAAAGTGATGACTTTGCTCACAGTGCAGTAAATGCATTTGAAAACCACATATTTTTACTTATCAAATGTCATGGCGGCAATGGCTACATTACGTTGGTGTAAAGTTTAAAGCAACACCTCCTGTTGAAAGACGTTATGTTCAGTTTTCATGGTTTACTATTACAAATGCAAAAGTTGAAAAAGTAAAGATAGAGTGTAGGAAGTGAAACTATCTTCGTTGACGGTTAAGAAAACGCACGCTTGACATGATTTTTGAAAAATATTTATGAAGGATACCATCAAAAGCAAACCACAATTTGTCTGTGGTCGTCATAAACCCTGTAATGCATAGTTTAAACTTTTGTTATTTGGAATTTTTATGTAGCCTTGGAAATTTCAATGAATGATTCAAACCTGATATAGTTAAAAAAAAAAAAAAAAGAATTCAAATGTTTTTAAATTTTAAAAATATCCATGATATTGACGCCATTGCAAACTTTAGATGGGATAGTAACGCTTGACTTTAGTATGGCTTCACCGATAGGTCAATATGTTTGCAATAAACTCTATTGGCTAAAATGAAAAAATCAACCAAGAGCGATTACTCAATTTTCTTAAAATCGTAAAAATCACTTTCAATTTAATAAAAAATGCTGTCCATGTATGTTCTTTATTCTAAATATCAATGTTTTGATAAGACTGCAGTGTAAGGATAAAAAAAAAAATGCATCTAAGAAAATTATATTCGGCTGTCGTCCAGTCTTCTTTTATTAATCTTTATTCTAAAAAATCGCGAAAAAGAAGAAGAAAGTCTTACACAAAGGCCCTTGATATCTATAGAAAAATTTCTATGGTTTATGTTGCGTTGCAGCCGACTTGGCCAGTTTTTCGATATCAATCTATCTACAACAGGTTCGAATATTTTTGCAATTTACCGATCACTTTTACGGTCAGGAAACGAACATATCCGGTTTTCATTCCAGACTACGTCTACTTTATAATATATATGAAAATTTCGTTTGAGTGTGTCAAACGTTTTAAGAAAATGAATATACCGCGATCTTTTTTTCAAGTCGCCATTGGCTTTATAGTTATTAAGCACCAAAAAATTCACCAAAAATTTTTTTATATCTATTGGATCGTTGTAGTACTAACTTTCATTTAGCATAAAATAAGGAATCTTTTCTTTCACAGTGGTTATATATATATATATGTATTTTTTTTTTTTTTTTTTTTGTTAAAAAATTCTATGAAAAATCAAAGAAGAATTTCATGAAATGCTCGATCGATAGAAATCAATCATTTTAAATTTATTAATTTAAAATCGATTGGAAATCTGAAATAGCAGTTATGTGATTGCTTTCCATGCATAATGTTAATAAAATTTATTTAGGCTAAGGTTATTTGGACGCATTTATTTTCTTATTTACATTTAGTTGAAAGCAACTGAAGTTTTCTCATCAATAATTTTCTAATTTTCCTCCTCGATTTTATTCTGCCCTATTTAACTGAAGTAAATGTGACATACTTGAAATATGTTACAAAATATATGTATTTTTTTAAGGCCTTAATTTATGCTATGACTTCAAGCATTCCTGCATGCCTGAGTGTATGTTAATTAGCATGAAAAGCGATTAATATTTTATTTAAATCAATTTGGGTTCTGCTACACATTTGCATAATAAATGCACTTGAAAATACACTTTGCAATCCTTCGAGATATAATGGCATAAATAATTTTGATGTAGAGCAAGCACATAAACACAAACATATAAGCATATTAAACAACGAATACCACCGACTTAATTACATTGTTTGGCAGTTTTTGTTTCTTCTTGTTTTCTTTTTTTTTTTTTTTTTTTTTTTTGTCATTTTAATGAAAACACAATTAATTAAAAGATGAATTATTTGGTCTATTATTATTATGAATTTCAGAGTTCTTTTGTCCTTTTGTTTTCTTTACTATTTTTTTTTTTTTTTTGTTTTTTTTTTGTTTTTCTCATTTCTCTGTGTCTCTGCTATGTTTATATAAAATTTTTTATGAAAAATAGGAATCATTGAGTTCTCAATAACAATTACCGTTAAAACTGAGTTTCAAGCGGTAATCCAATTGGTCTATTGTTTACTTATTTAAATAAAACAAAAACTCATAATGATAATAATAATAATAATAATAATAATAATAATAATATTAATTAATATATCAGTTCGATGTTGAAGTTATATCTCTGTTATAGCCTTATTCTGCATTATCCTGTTTGTTTTGCTTTGTTTTTTTTTTTTTTTTGTTTTTTGCATACGAACTAATTAAAGGATAAAAAGCAGAAGATGGGTTAAAAAGTGCCAAGAAAGTGTAAACAAAAGTAACAATTTATATTGTAAGTTTTGCATGGAAGGATTAAAAGCACACGATAACTTAGTTGTCGTCACGTTGAAATCGTTGAAGAGCAAAACACAAAGTATTTTAAAAGGAATTAGTGGAGGGAGTTGTTAACTCGCGTTTAACACTTTAAAACTTTCTTCCTTTTGTCTCCATTTATTTATTTATTTATTTATTTTTATTTATTTATTTTTTTTTTTTGTTTTATTTCATTTCTTTTACTACTTAAAGTAACTTCTAATTATTCGTTTTTGTTGTTGTTTGTTTTTTTTTTTATTAAAATCTTTACTGAAATATAATGGATGTATTTCAGATAAGTGGACGTACGATGGTTTTATGGTTAAATCACTGAACTTACAAAAAAAAAAAAAAAAAAAAAATTTATATTCGACTTGAACCGAATCTATTAATACCCATTACCACTAGAACTTGATACCCCTATAAAGAGAAAGCGTAGATTAGATAATGTTTTTGTATGAGTCGCATGAACGCTTTGCAGAGCCGATTGTGTATACTAAAATCCATTATATGAGTTTCCAACTGTCTATTGAAAACTTTCTTCCTTTTTCAAAGGTACTCGATAAATATCATCAGCGAAGGAGTCTTGGTAGCGATAATAGAAAAGGCTTTGTATTTTGCCTGTACCTTAATAAACTCAGCGATTAGTTTAGATTGTTGATTAGTATGTGATTCTTTTATTTATTTATTGACGTTAATTGTTGTTGTTATTTTTAACCTAAGAATATGAACCTCTGAGCTTTCAGGTGAAAGGGTAACGTTTGTCTCATTCATGGCGAGAAATTTGAATTTAATTTTAATGGAAATAAAAAAAAAAAAATATACGGACATCCAGACAACACTATCGCGTTATAAGCTATTGACAAACAATCGGGCAGAAAAACGGACATAATTTCCGCTATAAATAATGCAGAGTTTCCCTCATTAATATATTGACGGGAGAAAAACACTTGACAGATAACAGCAGCATCAGTATAATAGATATAAAAATTAAATTAAATTAAATTTTCTTGTTTAAATCCTATTAACTAAAATACTGATAATTAAGAACATGATTTTTCAACTTTTGATTATTTACAAATTAACTTAAGCGTGATTAAAATGTGTTTTGTTGTATTGTGTTTCTTATGCAAAAAGTAAATGCCATCACCTGAGAATAATAAGTTTTTAAATAAATATCAAATAAAATATATAAATGTAAATAAAATATATTTAAAAAAAAAAAAAAAAAAAAAAAAAAAAAAAAAAAAAAAAAAAAAAA